CATTCATTTGATGACCTCTATTATCAAAGGTAATGGTTGGACCAGATACATGTAAAAATTCAAAGTCTAAAGATTTTGTTGTTGTCATCTCCTGGTGAGTCTACTTGGTTAGCGAAACGCTTATCGAAAGCAGTATTTTTGTTCTGATGTGTTCATTACGTTATGTTAATATAGTTTGCATTCAAAGACACTTGCAGTCGCGATTATTGAAAGTGAACCTTTCATAAGCATGCAATTGAAACTATTCAAATAATTATGACACTCTAAGACTATCAACGAGGTTTGCTGAACTTTGAATTGAAAAATCTGTGATCAAGAGGTTTGTAATTTCTCAACTGAACATTATGCTCAATTTTATTTCTTTTAAACATGGGAATGTATAGTAATTATATACAATCCATAGTGCCTGTGCAGCTTTTGTGCAAGTGATATTATAACTTGATAGTCATCCACGTGCAATTTTTATGCATGGTTAAAAAGCTTTTTTCATTAATCGCAAACAGGAATATAAGAAATGATATTTGTAAAATTGTTTAATCTTCAAAAACTTCTCATTTTTAATTTCATTGAACTTCATATGTATCACCAACAAATTGGTATTGTATTCTTCAGGACAACATTATCATCAAAACTAAAATATACTTTATGAAGTTTTTTGATGAACTAAATATGAATCTCAAAGTACCTATAACATCAGGTTTACTAGATATAACCTAAAATTTCATAAATACGTCTATTGCTACATTCGAGGAGATATGATCTATTGAAATATATCAGTTTTATGTTTTCATAAATTGAATGCCAAATATAACCCTGAACACTGAATGCCAACACCTATAACTCCCAAAATCTCTTAACCTCAAAATGGGTTTTGACTTTTTCATTTGGTGTCTATAGGGTTTTAGATTATTTACATCCTCACGTTTGGGTTTGGATTCAGAGTTTTAAGATCAACCATTTCTCTAAACGGTAATAAAATATATAGAAAATCAGGATATAATATGAAGTTACTCTTTATGAAGGAATTTTCTAAAATTTACTATAGATGGCGCCAGCTTTTGACTATTGAGAAAGGAAGAAGGATGAACTAGATACACAATTAAACGTATTGAATATTAACCCCCCAAAACAATCATTCCTCAAAAAATCTAGGTCCTGGGATAGTTTTTCTGTGTTTTCTTACCACCACCACCACCGTGCTCCTCTCCTATGGGATTGAGTGCTCGAAGATAGAAATCTCCCATGCGGTTGATAGGTGCCAAAAATGTAATCTCCATACCATTCCACTATTCGCTCGCTTCCAAGCGGACCTCGACCTGTTCCTTGGCACTTCAGCGCGATTGTAACTTGACCTCTTTTGAAGTTAGCCTTTGTAACTGACGCTAATGTGTGTAATGTTTGCAAAGTGGCCCCTTGTGTCTTACTGGTGATGCGTGTTTAGGTGTGTCTAAAGATCCAAATTGTGTGTTTGTGGCTGAGTTTTGTGTGTTATATCAAACGGCGACTGTTGGAGGCCTTTGGTTATGTTTCTTAGGCCTCTTGTGCATGTACATTTGGTGTATAATTAATTAATCTTCAAGTTCCTCTCAGAAGACATTTAAATTTTTACAGCCCTATACCAGTGATCTCTAGGTTCAGGTTTTTTCATTGAACATTCTAAGTTAACAATCAATAGGAGAATGCATTCCATAGTTCGTATGATGGAAGGAAACGTTGAACAGATCATTATTTCTGAGAGTTTTCTTTGGCACGTATAAGTGTAACCTGCAGAGAAGTTCCGGGCATATAATAAGGCCTTTAATTACAAGTATAAGGTCAGGATTCTCTCTTCTTCTGATCAACAAGTCTAGGTAAAGAATGTTCAAAGGAATTGTACAATCATGATTGTCAATGTGTATTTTCATTTTATAGGCACAGAATCTCAGGAATTTATGTTGTACTCTTTCCAATGTGACACAGTGATTTGTATAAAATGGTTACCAAATAATCGAGCCATATTCTAAGCGGGAGACTATTAGGGCAAGATACACTGTTCTCGCTGAATTGATTCATGATACTTTGCAATTTTGTAATATAAAGCCCAGTAGCATTGATGTATCGACAGCAATATGATCTACGAATCGCAAATGCAAGTCAAAGATAACCCCTTCATTGAAGTGACACGTGTTAGTGGATGTTTATGTGTAAATTGTTTTCGATACATCACTTATCCAAGCTATTTGAATCATGTTGTAACAGAGTAACATTGTCTAATGATTCCATTGGTCTGAAAATTTCAATATCATCCGTGAACATTAAAATGTTTGAATTTTAAAAAGATTTAGTAATCTCATTAACAAAGATGTTGAACAAAAGAGGTGCATAATGAGACTCTTGAGGTACTCNAAAAATCTTCTTGCTGAGATGATTGGTATGTACCCCTCCCACCTTCCCATCTTAAAGGAGATTAACTTATTATTTCAAACTGAACTTGCCACAGCTATCAGTAAATGGCGCCATCTGTTGGTTGTGATTAGTATCAATGTATATATACATCTTCACATACTACGTTAGTGTGCTAATTGCAGAAGTGAAATTAAAATGTATAACAACTTTCTCAGTAACATCACTCCCATAAACGCTTCATCTTCTGAAAATCTTCCTGCTGAGATGATTGGTATGTACCCCTCCCACCTTCACCATCTTAAGATTAACTTATTATTTCAAACTGAACTTGTCACAGCTATCAGTAAATGCCGCCATCTGTTGGTTGTGATTACCATTAATGTATAAATACATCTTCGGATACTACGTTAGTGTGCTAATAGCGGAAGTGAAATTAAAATGTGAAACAACCTTCTCAGTAACAACTTCCCACGAACACTTCATCTTCTGAAAAAGATCTTCCTGTTGAGATGATTGGTATATACCCCTCTCACCTTCGCCATAGTCATTATCATCGTTTCTGACAGGCTGGAGCCTTACTCCCTTACCTTTTGGGCTGATTTTCGTCAGAGGGACTGAGTCATGACTGATTTGTGATGGTGGCATGAAAGTCCTCAGACATCCATTCCGCCCTTCGCGGTGTACCCCTACCTGGCTGGGGTGAGATGGATGAAAATATCGGAGGACATTGGGGCCTCATTTGACAGAGTGTCGGGGCCTTCTATATCGAGAGGGGTCGTCTACAGCGTAATCTATAGCTTCCCTGACTAAACACCTTCGCCATCTTAAGGGATATTCAACTTATTATTTCAAACTGAACTTGTCACAGCTATCAATAAATGGCGCCCGCCATCTGTTGGTTGTGATTAGCATTAATGTATAAATACATCTTCACATACTACGTTAGTGTGCTAATAGCACACCTTAGTAACAACTCTCCCATAAACGCTTCATCTTCTGAAAATCTTCCTGCTGAGATGATTGGTATGTACCCCTCCCACCTTCACCATCTTAAGATTAACTTATTATTTCAAACTGAACTTGTCACAGCTATCAGTAAATGCCGCCATCTGTTGGTTGTGATTACCATTAATGTATAAATACATCTTCGGATACTACGTTAGTGTGCTAATAGCGGAAGTGAAATTAAAATGTGAAACAACCTTCTCAGTAACAACTTCCCACGAACACTTCATCTTCTGAAAAAGATCTTCCTGTTGAGATGATTGGTATATACCCCTCTCACCTTCGCCATAGTCATCATCATCATCGTTTCTGTCAGGCTGGAGTCTTGCTCCCCTACCTTTTGGGCTGATTTTCGTCAGAGGGACTGAGTCATGACTGATTTGTGATGGTGGCATGAAAGTCCTCAGACATCCATACCGCCCTTCGTGGTGTACCCCTACCTGGCTGGGGTGAGATGGATGAAAATATCGGAGGACATTGGGGCCTCATTTGACAGAGTGTCGGGGCCTTCTATATCGAGAGGGGTCGTCTACAGCGTAATCTATAGCTTCCCTGACTAAACACCTTCGCCATCTTAAGGGATATTCAACTTATTATTTCAAACTGAACTTGTCACAGCTATCAATAAATGGCGCCCGCCATCTGTTGGTTGTGATTAGCATTAATGTATAAATACATCTTCACATACTACGTTAGTGTGCTAATAGCACACCTTAGTAACAACTCTCCCATAAACGCTTCATCTTCTGAAGATCTTCCTGCTGAGATGATTGGTATGTACCCCTCCCACCTTCTCAGTGGAAAGTCATCCTCGTTTCGTTCAGGTTGGAGCCTGGCTCCCTTACCTTTTCAGCTGATGTATCTCAGAGGGACAAATGGATCTCACCTTCCCACTGCACGTTGTCTTGAGTTCAATCAGGATGGAGCCTAGCTCCTTTACCCTTTCGGCTGGCTTTTGTTGAAGAAGGACAAATGTGTTCATGACTGAGGGGATGGTGGTATGAAGTCCTCAGACATCAGTACCGCCCTTCACGGGATAACTCTACTTGGCTGGATGAAAAAGCTATTCGTCCGTTGACGGGGGACATGAGGGCCTCATTCGACAGAGTGTCGGGGCCTTCTATATCGGGAGGGGTCGTCTACAGCATAGTCCATAGCTTTCCTAACTAACTCCCACCTTCCCATCTTAAAAGAAAATAACTGATTATTTCAAACTGAACTTGCCACAGCTACTAATAAATGGCGCCACCTGTTGGTTTTTGGAAACAGTTTTGCTCTGAAAATAGTTATGACCAGCCTCTCTTCAAACTGAATATTTCATTGCTATTTATAATTTGTGCCGCCACATGCAACCTTTTTGCAAACATTCTGTGATTGCATTCATATTGTTTGATGTCCACCTGCAATATCAACTAAACTTCCCAAAACGATTCTTACTCAGAATCAATAGGTTCTTGTGATCTTTTTTCTTTCTATAGGTACACACATTATGAGAAATCAGCCATGTTTTCCATGAGTCATTACCTGGTTTCAAAAATTTTAAATTTGTCTTTTATGAAGACTAAAGGATAGCACAAATTATGACATTGAAAAACAATAAAACAATCTTAGGAAATTTGCTCAATTTTTTTATTAACCAAAATTTACAATGTTGATTATGTACTGAATAACATCAGTACGAATTGTTTATCTACAAAATCAATTAAATATATGGATAGATGACTGCGGCTCAGAATCATTTTGCTGACACTACATCATCATCATGTACTGAACTTTCAACTGCTCAATAAAAAAAACTCTGTTCAAATGATGAATGCATTTGCAGAAAAAGCAAGTGGCCAAATTCCAAATATCAAATTTGCTCATCCCTTTCAATAGGTAGATGGAATATCCTCTTGGTTTTATTTTCTCACAGGTAATAATCAAGATAGTACATAATCAGTGAAATCGTTTTATATCACCGAAAATGGCAGAAAAATTATAATTATTTTTGGTTTTTGCAGTCTTTTCAGATGGAATATAAATAATTATAACTCAATGAAAATCACACCTAGTAGTACCATCCAAAACCCAGTACAAAACATCCAAAACCCAGTTCCCTAGTTCGATGGTATGAAAAATAAACGAAAAACTGATGATATATATCTAAATTTCTTTCCATTTTAAATTCCTCCATTTTCAAATAATCAAGAACGAACAGTAGCATTTGTTCGGTTGATTGATTAAACGAGTTTGTATCACAGTATTTTTGATATCATTTACGCTAGGAATAAATCGAATGTGCAACAGCATATTTCTCAGGATGGAGTCCATGATATTGTTCAGAGGTTTTGCAAAGAAATAAAATGAAAGTGAAAACCAAGTTTCATCAATACAGAACAGAAGCCGGAAAAATTACAAAGCAACAGCTTTGTTTTTTGTTTTGACAAAGTAATTATGGAGGTAACTTGTTCGATTATTATTTCATTTATAATCACCGTTTGTATTAATAGGACCCTGCATCCACAGGACAGAAAACAGAGTGGAATGAAAAATAAATTATGGCACAGAGAGAAATATGTGATAATGGAAAAGAAAAAGGAAAACCAATGTTACAATAAATTGGAAATGAATAATTGGAGAAGATGGAAGATCATGAGAAAGAAAACCATGAAGGAATAAGAGGTAGTAATTTCAATTATAACAATATTATATTTGATGAATGTCGAATGAACAAAGAGATATTTCGGATTTGGCCTTTTGAAGAATGAAGCAAAAAAATCAGTCAATTAGATGTAGGAAAAAAAATACAACCAGTGATATATCAATTGCTAAAATATATGAAAAACGACATAAAATATTAGCCAAAGAAAAATTTTAAACAATAGAGACGTCCATACTGTTTTTAGCCCTACTCGACTTTTTAATCTGTCACTTAACTATGATCGGCAGCTGAAACTGTCAACAACAGACAGTTGACAGTTTGAACTTTTGATTACAGCAGAAAGATAATTTGAACTATCGAGGACACATAATTGGCAATTGAAATTATCGATTGTAACAGAAAAAATTCTGTTATTCTTCAACACCTTCGTAGAAAATGAAAACAACCATATTTGAAATGAAGAGATGGCAAACATAATGGAAAAAGGAACCACTCACTTGTTAGTAACCAAAACAGAATGGAACGAAGGTCATTTAGGAGGAGAGAGAATAAAAATATAACCAATGTTACGGTGATGTTTAACTGGAAAAGGAAACACAAGACGCAAGGAGTGGATGGAAAAATTTGAAAATAATATGATTATTTCACAGGTATAATGATTTTGTCAATGAAGATACTGACTGATGGTACTTTTTCGATAAAAAAAAAATAATACGAGAAAGTAATTGACTCGTAGAAGATAAAATGTGGTAATCTTAATCCCACTCGCAGGAGAAATTAGCTGTAGCACAAATGTAATTTTTTCAAAACTCGATTTTATAAACCATATACTGATTTATAATATAGTGTCTATATGAAGGACCAACGATAAAATTTATTTTTCGGACTCGCGCTAATTTTCGAAACATTTGAGACCATACTTAGGTGTATTTGTTTTCTGATTACCAATATGAAGTCAACATTTGACGCTCCCGTCTACATTTCAAAATAAGACCACTCCATAGTGGAATATATTGAAAAAACCATAAAATGCCTTTTTTTGCTCGAGTATGCGGCAAACATTCATTTACTCATTTCAAATGTTTTTACGATTTTATCATAACCTGTAACTAACTAACCTGTAACATATCCTAGCCAACGGTAAATTCAACATCATATATTGAGCATTCTTTGTGAAAGAATTTTTCTTTGCATTTTCTTTGCATTCGTTGAACTAGGTTAGATTCACAGGTCGTTTCACTAACCATTATATACTCAATAAATATTTGCAACAAATGTAATGTGCAGACATCTTCTGTTTGCAAAGTATACACGAGACTAGGTTGCTGCTTATAGATGATGTTTTATAGTTATAACTATGAATATACCAATTTACATTTTAGTTTACTGCCGCAAATGAATATATTTTGTTAATTCAAATAAAAAAACTACACAAACTACAAACATGACAGCAATTATGGAAGGTACATCCTACATGACAAAGAAACAGGTGTCATTTTCAACTTTTTGTTGGTCATATAATTTTTCCAATACAAAAGTTCTTTGTAAAAGTATCATTGAGTTTCATAAATAATTATGGTAGGGGTGAATGGGCCCATGATCAAAAGGTCGTGAGTTCGTTTCTACCTCGACAAGATATTTTTCTTGAGATAATTCATCTAGTTGCAGTTGTGATGAACATGGTGACTTGGGGAGTTATTAACATGGCCTACACAGAACACGAGGCTAATCACCAAAGCATTTGATGACCAAAAAAAATTATGAGGCAGTTTGCTGGAAGATACAATTTTAGGAAAACTAATCAGTTTGTATGAAAAAAAAAGAGGTGAGTGAATAAAGGACTGCAGCACGAGATCTGAAAGTAGACTAGAGCATCAAGTTTTAACTTCAGATTCATCACCAGTTTTTTAGTATATTAGTTTTTCTCTCTTACTAAACGATCTTTGTTCCATCCTGTTTTGGTAACTAACAAGTGAGTGGTTCCTTTTTTCATTATGTTTGCCATTTTATTTCAAATATAGTTCATTTTCTACAAAGGTGCTGTAGAACGACATCATTTTTTTTGTTACAACTGACAGTTAGAATTGTCAAATATATTAAAAAAAAGTGAGAGCCAAAAAACTAAATTTTACCGGACTAATTATTCCGTAACATTCAAATATTACTCCCATTAGCAAAAATCAGTTCCATATGACAAATTAATCAATAAGTACAACTCCCAGATCGACTTTCTGTTGGCGTCCCAGTAGTGTCAGCAAAAACTATTCGTCAAATCGACAGCACTATGAACACGCTAGTAGTGGAAATCCAAGAATACATTTTTAAAATCATGCCAACGTCACACAGAAATCCGTACGTTACCATTATCATCATCATCGAATCAAACGTTGCAATATGCAACGTTCCATATAAAATTTAAAAAACAGTGAGTAAAAAGCTCTCGATATTCAAAAGAAAGTCGATATTGCCCCACACTTTGTCTGGTAAGCTACTTTCCGCCGTGAATCGTAAATTGAAATAATTTACAGTAAATGTACAAATAAAAAAAGGAAAGGTAATATACACTTGGAACAACGAATCATTACACATGCGTCATAAAAATAAAATATGTGGCTTAAAACACATACTTTTATATTGTATCCCTTTCTTCTAAAAGTGAAAAATAAATAACTTTTACATTCAATCAGAGATGGCTCTAATGCGGATGATGGCTTGAACTCGGAATATTCAAGAGAGATAGTTATGCAAACAAGTATGGATGGCAAAAGTTCAGTAAAAAAAGAAAGATTGAGGAAGACGAGATGACAAATGCTCAAACTGCTACATATTTAGCACAGAATAAGAAGTGACAAGAAATGGTGCACGAGAAAAATCCAATAGGTGGTTTTATTTTCATTTGAATTGACAGATGTTGAAGTTGGAAAATGAAATATAACGCAATTGCAGGATAATCGTCAAAATAGTGAAGACTTTTCTGAAATTGGGCCACAATCGTAACAAAAGGTTACTTATTAGTGAACTTCATAAATAAAGGCATTTTTTTTAAGAAGATTAGGTTGTTTAGAACAGTAGCCACATCGCTTCCGCTTTCACAACTTTGCCACCTTATCACAAATCAATGTCGCACGTGAAGCGATCCGTTGACCCTACTGTGCACAATTTGTAGATATTTTATAATCGAGTCCTGAGGTACACCTGATACCACAATAACTTAATTAATAAATTTCATAAAAAAACACTATCGGTTAAATGTCCACACTCTCACAGATAAGACACCACTTGTTGTTTCCCTGCGAGATATCAGCAGCAACGGTCAAATGCTCTCGATCGTGCGGCCATCAGTTGCTGTTGTAGCCGTCTTGATCGGGCGAAACGTGATTCGACTCGCTAGGCGGGACTATCTCTGAAGGCGGTTTGAATGCCGCTGTGTACGGGAATCTTGAATTACACTTTTTGACGAATTCTTCTAATTGAGCATCGCAACTGCCAAAGTTGCCTTTTCTTAGAGAATTTAAGATTTCTGTACAAACCTGTGGACAAAAAAAATTATAAAACAAACTGACATGAGCATGGCGACGAGATTGTGCATAATTTTGTGATTGCCCGAGATTAATTTCAATTTTCCAGGATGCACTGGTGGTGTATTTCACTTTCAATATTATTTAAATGTTACTTGGAGAGGTAGTTGCATCATTCTTAAGTCAGGAAGAAATTCCGCATTAGGAAGGCCCTCAATCTTGACAAACGATTCTGATATGATATATAATTTTTCTTTATATAAATGTTTGATGTGACGTGTAGTTTTTGAAAAAAGATATTTCATCGGATAAACATACGTGTAAAATTATTTCTAATTCGGATCTTACACCAAAAGAGCATACTACATTGTTTGGGGTTTGAATCTTCTCTTCTATTCATTACATCATTACTATTGGTTAGGATAAATGGTCTGATTCCTGTAATATTTAGTGCAGGTAGCCAGACTTTGTTAGATTTTTTCTGTGGGTTGAAATTGTCTGTGAGTTTCTGAATTGTCTGAATTCTTTTATCCCCTCTAGCTTTGAAATAGGTCAAGTATTTGAGTCTCTTCTAACAAAAAAACGTTAGTGCATGTCTGGGAGCTGTTGAATTGTCAGTATCTCTTTATTTTCCCAAAGTATTCCACCCCGACAGTTATTTTTGAAAAAAAAACATGAACCACTCATGTTTTTATCGAATTGCTTGACAAAACTCAGAACAACTATCCAAGAGTATGAAGGGAAGAGGTAGAAATTTAATTTGAAAAAAAGGGCCAATTCGGCTATTCAACCCAACCATATAAGAGTTCACATACTATGACCTCTCAAACTGAAAACAAGTAGTAGAAGTTGCAAGAGTAAGAAGTCGAATCATTAGTATTATATAAATTGCATTATTAATTATTGTAGAGTGCCAGTACAATTGAGGAAACTACTGTTGTAATGAAATGCTTTTGGAAAATGAAGTTTACCCATCAAGAAGATTTGATATCATCATTAATAGTAAAAATTTAATGAAACTCATCTACCGGAATATAAAACTATGCTCAATTGAGATAACTTACTGAATCATTACCCAGAATCCAGAATGACAAATCACAGCCCAGCTCAAACTTAACCATGAACCGTTGATTTACATAAACATTTCAATATACTCAAAATTTACAATGTCACTCACGTATAAGCTTTTAAAGCTTTAGAGATTATAAATATCTATTTCAAATAATTATTAACGTTTGTACTAGCTTTATTATTATTATTTCATCGTCTTCAATAGTCTCTACCGCGGATGTAGACGATACGTCAGACATAAAACCTGCAGACCACCGCTAACAATTCCGGAAATTGTCTTCAACATAATAAAAATTAAATTCACCAGGAATAAAATACTCACTTGAATATTTACATCTTGATATTTATTGTCCAGACTAGTAACCAATTCGATGGCTTGGCTTTGACTCTTATTGTCGAGATGATACATCATTTTAGCTCCTTCTAAAACAGCACGCAAACTGTCCGAGTTATTCTCCAGGAATTCCTTGTTGAGTTTGTGTGCGTCCTTGCCGTTGAAAAATAATTTGGATTCCTTGAGGACGACCTCCTCCACCCTAGGATCCCAACTGCTTCTGATTTCGTTTATGAACTGGGAGAAACGGATCAGACAGCTGTGCACTTTCGGATGTTTCGGATCGACTTGGTGGGCACGTTTCAGTGACTGGAGCATCAAGAGGACTCTTTCTGCGAAATACAATACTCAGAATTGGAAATTGATACAAAATATAATAACTACAGTTTGCATGGTATGTGTTGACCTTTTCAGTAAGTTATGAATAAATGTTTTTCAAAATATCTATGTTATCACTTTACTTTAATCGATTGTAGGATAACTTACTTTTTCGATAATAAAGTTCAAACGCCATTAGATGTGTTTCTATCCTATCTTTCGCCAATGTCTGGAGAGGTTGGAGAAATCTGATAGCTTGTTCCAGAGGATCATCTACCTGAAAATCCAAAATAAATATGAACTAATATTTCAGAATAACTGATTGAGCATCTCTGGTACATTAGAAAAGTCAATCAATCACCGTGTTGTTAGTACATCAACGAGATGATAGGATATAAAAAAAAAGTTGGCTTCCAACTTCTTCTGGAACTTGCAAAAAAAAAGAATAAATAATAAATAAAAACGAACATTTCTGTTTTTCATATTATCTTTGAAAATTACTAGCTGCATAATGTTTCCAGGCATTAATGAAATGCATGGCTTTTGTTGAAAAAAGTCGGTGTTTTATCAGCAACTAAAGTCTATCCAAATCCAAGATAGAGTAAAACAAAACAAAACGGAAGCGTGATGTTCACGTGATCGCCCAGTGTCAGATGGAAAGGGCAGCGTTCATTGGTGAATTCGCCTTCTTGGTACGAGTTCGGTACCAGTACAGGGTTGTAATTAGTCGTTTGCGTGTTTGTGTGGCGTGCGTTATAGTATACTGTTTAAAATTGTTTTCCAAGAGGTCCAGTACAGACACTGCTGATGACACTGTGAGATATCCTCTGAGTCCAGCCAAGAAACGATCCAAAAAAGACATTTGAGTGTTGATATGAAAGAAGTGATTTTAAATGTGTTCAAGAAAGAGATGGAAGAAATTGAGACATCGACTATCGACGAAGTCGTATCGAAAGTTTCCGATAAAATTGGAGTGTGTTGCGCTTCGATTTACAATGTTTTACGGGAATATAAACAAAATCATACATTTTCCAAACCGAATACAAATCAGAATCGTCAAACCATTTTAAAATCAATAGATGATGCTGACAAACATGCAATCAGGAGGAAAGTGCATGAGTACTTTTTCAGAAATGAAATACCCACGATAGACAAAGTACTCACAGAAATGAATGAATATGTTTTATTGCCAAGTTTTAAGCGGTCAACATTCCATAAAGTATTGAAACATTTGAATTTTGTATGGAAAAAACGAGGGCGCAATAGTTTATTATTGGATAGAGACGAAATTGTGTTATGGAGGAGACAGTATTTGACCAAAATTAAATATTATAGGTAACAACAGAGAACAATTTATTATGTGGATGAAACCTGGGTTAATGCTTTACATACTACCCCTAAAGTATGGGTCGATGAAACTGTGACCATATCTAGGAGGGCCTTTCTAGATGGACTTATCCACCGGATTAACAAATCCATCAGGTAAACTTATATTTATATTAAGACCTGCCTCAATCTCAATATATAAAAAGTAACCCTCGTATTTGTTTTATTTACTTACATACCTCTTCATAATTTCAGGTAAAGGAAAACGGCTTATTATTTGTCACATCGGCAATGAGAATGGGTTTGTTGCTGAAGGGCTGTGGTGTTTCGAGTCGAAGAAAACTGGAGATTATCACGAAGAAATGAACGGTGAATCTTTCGAACAGTGGTTTTCCAAAGTTCTANGGACTGTTCTCTTACTTGGGAGAAATTAAACTTTTTTGAAGTTCTCCTGGTTCTTTCCCTTTTCTTATTACCTCTCCCTTTCTTTTCTCTCATTTTTATTTTTTTAATTTCTATTCATTTCTTTACTATTATTTTTTTCTATCTTCACGGCCCAAAATTTCCAAGTCGAAAAAGCAAGGGGGAAGTTCCCCCCCATCCCCCTGGCGACGCCCCTGGGTATGAGGCACTAGACTTAGAGCAACAGAGGTCCTATACCAAACAGACCATTGTCCACTTTTTAATAAACCGCTAATTTTCGAGAAAAACTTGATGTATGGATAAAAGTGAAAGTGGGAATTCATGCTATGACGCCAACTTGGTTGGCGGAACGCGCGTCTAGTGTTGCAGTTCTTGTGTAAGGAAAAAGTAATTTTGTTGGGTGGTTTACGAGGGTAGTTTGAAAAGTTTTCGACCTAAGAAGGATACAAGATATCTCTGTAACCCGTGCAAATAGTACTCGGCGTTTTTCTCGGCAAAATCTCTGTCCTCCGAGCGCAATTTCGAGATGAGGAAACAAAAATAACTCGCTTGGGGCTAGATCTAGTGAGTAAGGCGGATGGTTGAGCAGTTCAAACCGTAATTCGTGGATTTTCGCCATGACAACCGCTGAGGTGTGAGACGGTACGTTAATTTGGTGAAACAGGATTTTCTTTTTCAGCAAATATGATCGTTTTTCCGTAAGTTCTGCCTCAGCTTGTCAAGCGTAGTATGCTCCTGTAATGGTTTTTCCTTTCTGAAGATAATCGATTGAAATAACTTCATAACTATCCCAAAAACCAGCCATCACTTTCTCAGCCAAAAAAACAGTTTTTGCTTTTTTTTAGCCGGTTTCCCCTTTGCGATCCACTGTTTGGACTGTATTTTTGTTTCGGGCGTGTATCTAAGTTTCTTCTACAGTAGTTAATCGGCGCCAAAACTCAGATTCACTGCACCTAAACAGTGCCAACACTGGTCTAACATGGTCTAACATGAGCAAACGCGGCACCCAACGAGCGGGACAACTTTCTCATGACTAAATGTTGATTTAATATATGAGAAACACGTTCTTTTGACATGTTCATAACCTCTGATATCTCTCTCACTTCAATTCAGCGGTCGTCTAGCACCATTTGGTGAACTTCGGTGATGTTTTCGTCGGTAGTTGCAGGTTTTGGACGTCCCGAACGTTCATCGTCTACCAAGCTCTCTTACGGCCACATTTAAATTTAGCTGCCCAAAATTTCACTCTGGTAAATGGTGGTACAAAGTCCCCATCTCCCTATACACAAAAGCCAACTCATCTTTGATGTGCGTAGGCGTATTGCCATTAAAAAATAAAAATTTATTGACAGTTCTATACACGATTTTGTCCATTTTCATAAACACTCACTCAAACGTGTGTTACATAACAACTGCGTATCCAAAATGGCTGAAACTTTGGTGAGTAGCTGTCAACAGATGACCAATGAAACCCACTAACTTTTATTTACTAGTGCTGCTATCTCAATGTTGAGGTCGGAAACCACCCTCGCATATAGATTATATTGTAGTAAATGATGATAACTTTTATATGAATATTTGAAATAATTTTTGGACAACTGGCAAACATTTCTTTAAAATAATTTATTTGCCAGCGAACATCACTTTATAACTGCCAATTTTCTTCATTTTTGGTATTTCTTCAACGATAACTAGTGTAACGATTATGTAGCCGCCCTGACCGATATGCCGGCCAGCGAACAAACACATGACATCACTGCGAAATAATGCAGTCGGCAACTGCCGGTAAAACTCTAGTCGAGTATCGAACCGACTACAGATTTCTAGAAAGAACCGTTACACTATATAAGCCTGGCTTCCCGACCCAAGAGGGCAGCGCAGTTTAGAAAGTGAAACGTGCGGTTAAACAAGGAATTCAAATAGTGGAAATAAATTTTTTAAGACAGTTAATTCTTCAATTTGTTACAATAGCTAGCTTTGATTGAAATGACTCGTTTTTTACAAGCTTGTAAATGAAAGCTTGTACAACAAATTCGCGATTAAGAGAGATTTAATGATAATTACCGATTCTATTTCATTTTCTTCTTTCCTTGCACCTCGAACACGTTGGTTTTTCACTTGTTGATTTTTGGTTTTCCAGGTATGCTGTCTAACTATTTCCTACTCTGTTTTATTCGTTAGTTGACACCTTTGATACGGCTACTATCGATTTTTACAATAATTCAAAGACACCAAGTGGCACCTATGTGGCAACACTGCTCATCGTCGAACTCACAATCTTTTCTTATGACTTGCGTTTCCCTCAGAGTAAAACCTCTCACCTTTATGGATTGCCCAAAATCCACAAGAAAGGTGTTCCGCTCAGATCGATCAGTAGTTTCAGAGATTCAGCTATTAAAACTTGTCTAGATTTTTACTTCAATATATACAACCACTACTTCATCTTTAGTGAAAAATTCAAGGTATTTTGTCGAATTACTAGCGGCAATCAAAGTCAAAAAGCAAGATCAATTCAACAGTTTCATCGTGGAAAGCCTTTATACCAATGTTCCTGTCGAAGAAAAACTTCAAATCATACAGAGGAAGATATCCGGAGACGACGACCTGAAAGATAGAAGGAACTAACCTATAGAAGTAATCATGGAATTAGTAGGATGCTGTGTACGAAACTGTTATGTATGTTAACGAGATATGTTAACGACACCTTCATAGTATGGAACTACGTTTCTGAAGCATACAATCACCGTTAATTTATCAAAAGAGGAATCATCAAGACTCTAGTGGATCCTACTTTCGAAATCTGTAATACGAAGGAAAGTCTCGAGAAGGAACAACTAGGCATCATCAGAAAATATCTTCAACGGAATGGTTACTTCCTAAGCGATGGCGGAACATATTTTGGCAAGAAACCAGCAAGGGCCTTGCAAGGAAGAGAAGCCGCCACAACTAGTGCTCGTCCTTCCTTACGTGAGACATTTTTTGGAAAGGATGAGAAGAATTGGATCCAAGTACAACGCCAGACCCTGCTTCAGATCCGGAAACACCATTTGTAGTAGCTTCACGAAAACCAGGTCACCAAACCAACAAATCATCATCAAACAATAGTTAGATGTAGTTAGTTGTGTAGCGTTTCCATAAATAAGTTTGACTTTCTATTATCGACGTTTGTTATAATTGCAAGATTTCTGGAATAGTTTTCCTTCATATTTACAGAATTTAATTTTAAAAATTTTTCAAGTTTCATGAACTCGAAATATAAAGTCAACAAGTATCGGCAGATACTCGTTGACTTTATCGATTTCCGTGAGACGCCTATGCCTAGCAACAATTAACATTTCAACAGAAATGTTCATACATAAAACGTAGGCCAAGCCGACACACCCATATCCTTCGTGTTTTTCTCGTCTCTTTATTTCAATACTAGAATCTGTATCACCTACAATCATTTGAATCTACATAAATTGTGAAAAGTAGATATCGGCATTGTCTTATATAACATCTAGTAATATGAGACATAAAAAAAGCGTTCTGCTGTCTGACCGGACAGGTACGGCATATTTGCTTATCAAGTGATCCGTGCAACATTCACCATAGCAGAAAACTGAATTGAACTGAGAATCAGATCTATATTGAACAAAAATGAAATCAATGAGAAATATTTGTTATAATAGGTTTATCGTGGAAAGATTTGTAAGGTACTCTGAACATTACTATTAGAATTACTGGGTGATCTGAAATGTGTTTCAAAA